GGCGGCCCCCGGCGCCTCCGCCTCCCAACCGTCTGTGCCACGGCCCGCCGGGCCGGGCCCAGCGCCTCTCTGGCCGCCAGGGCCGCGGGCGGCCCCGGCGGCGCGGCCACTGCAATGCCGGACTCACCGCCGTGACTGGCCTGAGGGCGGCCAGCCACCCGGTGTCGCCGGACCCGCAGCCTATATTGAAATTAGTTGAATTATGCGATCTACATTTCAAATTTTCATCTGCATTCGTCAAAAAATTCAGCCAGAGTGATCCCTCATCAACTGCTTGGCATGGCGGGAAAGAACTTGGATGCCCTCACTGTAAAGAATGCAGTCCCAGAGGAGGGGAGAAGCCTGAGATGAGGAGATAGATGAGAGAAGAGGAGAGCAGGAGAGCAGAAAGGATGGAAAGGAGAGGATGGAGAGGAGAGCAAAGGAGAGGTGTGTCATGTAGGGGAGAGCCAAGGAGAGGAGTGGTAGAGAGATTGGAGGTCGTGACTTCCTCGATAACATACTTCTTCCATATTGTGAGAAATACTTGTCTGCTTGTCAGGGCCACTACCTGATAGGAGATGAGTATGTACGTTCGCATCAAGAGGCAAAGGCGAACAATCTTCCTGAGTTGTAAGATTTACTCCCCTCGCCATCCCTCTTGGTGGTCTGACATGCCTCCAGGCGAGCCGTCAGACACATTCTCAAAGCTCAAGGCAAAAGTTGCGAGCATTTCATCTACCGAGGTCGTTTTCCTCTATGATCGGTCTTCGAGTCCGAGATCCTGACTTAGTTGGTCATCTTCAGCCAGACAAGGTCCGGCTATTAACTATCGTTGATCAGATCAACTGCGAAGATGCCAAGGTGAGTTCATTCTCTTGGAAACACAGCAATCACGAGAGCCTCTGCAGACATTGAGAGACTTGAAGATCGAAGACGGAGCGATCCTAGCGTTGGTACTCCCCGATTCCTCAAAGGTACTGAGGATTCTGCAACGTGGGCAGTGTGATATTTTGTGACGGCGAGTGCAGGATGGGGGATGGGAGAGTATTGACATTGTTGAACCGACACCTGATGTACTGCAGGAAAGCGATTCACTTGCTGAAACGAAATGAGAAGCTTGTTCATGAACGTGACCATGAGGACGCATGAGCACAAACCATGCTTCAACATGACGAGGCAAGTTGGCTGTGCAGCACGTATGCACGTTCGCCGATGGCACCGGGGCAATGGATTTAGAATGATAGGTTGCAAAGATTAGAGGACCACACAAAGGACGTTGTAGAGAGTTTCAAATCAAATTTCACAACATTTACATGAAAATCTTAAAGAACAACACATCGTTTTGGATCAACCACGTCGCTGATCATGGTGCCGGCAAGAATATTCTACTACGAGGAGATGAGGTGTCGTAGATTGCCTGTGAATCATGACTGTTAGTTCGCCAGAGATAGAAGTTTGAGCCAACTGATGTTCACCTTGCGATCAGCCGGTGTCGAAGCTAGGGGGCTGCAGAAGAATAGGGAAGGCAATCTCTTTTCCCTAGGTGAAAGGGGTTGAGGGTACAAAACTTCTCTTGTACCCTCCACTTACTGCATGAAGCATGCCGAATCGAAGTTTTTGGAAGCATTCTCCCCCCCAACAAGCAGGTGAAATTCATTATGATAACCCTGAACAGACAAAGGGCATAAAAAAAAAACAAGTCGCTCAAGGAAGATTGCGCAATCAGAAACATTTCCCTCACCGTGTTATAAATGCCCCACGTGTTAGTATGCAGCCAGCGCACCCTCCACATGGAACTTGATTGTGAGCAGTAAGAGCTCCAGTAGTAGTGTGTAAAGAACGCAACTTACCTATCCCCGAAATGATCTTCGAGCAGAGTTCCAGGTCCATCATCACCAGGAAACCTGCACGCAGGGAAAAAATCATATCAGGTGTCCTTGTCACATGTTGCACCTGGAGCGACAACCTGCACTGGCCAGATGCCATGTAGGCATCGAGATCGAGCGTAACGAGTAGACCTGGCCTGCAGCATACAATCATTATCAAATCTGTCTATTTACATGCAACATGTGCCTTACCTCGCGTTGTCTTTTCCGACCTTGATTGGTCCCATATCAAAATTTTGTTCGCGCCTCGGTGAAGTAGGGGATTGTGAGATCGCCTGGTAAATAGCTGTGAGAAACCTCCGATGGCTCTCGGGCCTGCAAGAAGACCTGCATGAACGTGAGGGCGTACTGGACCCCCGCGTGGAAGCTCCTGTGGACGGGTGAGGTCAACGCTAGCAACTGGATGGATCGGGTCTCCTTACCCAGGGTTGCTCTTTGCCCTCATGAACGTCTTGAATGATTTCGTTCCACTCCCAGCACGAGAAAATGATCTGCAAGCGCTCATGAGCTCCCCGGAGAGACACAGCAACTACGAATCATACTTTGAAGGGCTGCCCGGTAGATGCACCGGCGAATGTTGGAGGTCGCTGCTCGGCGTCCTCTCTTTGAACATCTCCACAGCCATAGCCATCTGCTCTGACTGCAAAGAGGCTTGAAAATCAGGGAGTATGCCAAGGTATCAAGACAGCTTACCACTGCTTCATCTGCCGTCTTCTTGATATGGATGCGAACGTCGTCGGACATATTTTCGTACAATTTGGAAGCAAGGACAGAGTACTTTTCCAGGATCTCATAAAAATCATTGCGCTCAAGCTCAAGTAGCAGGCACTGGTCGAGGGCGAACGCATCAGCTTTCCTTCCTTCCTGGAGCATGAGCCCCAGTTCTCCCAAGTAAGATCCTTTCTCCAGAACGACGACCTGCTTGCCCTGGACTCGGATAGAGATCCTACCTTCGTTGACAAAGTACATGCTCGTGCCCTTCTCCCCTTCAAAGAAAAGAAACTCTCCGGATGGAAGAGTGAGCGGCTTCAGAAACTTCGTGATCTCTTGGCAGCAAGCAAAGCCCATGTCGCTGAAGGCGGGTGGCACATGCCATATCCCCGACCACCCAGACACGTTCTTTGCTCCATTGACAATCATCTCATCACTTCCTCCTCTCTTCTTTTCTCTTCCTCTCGTCTCCTCCTTCACTCTCAATGCTCCCACGCTCCCCCCACTCGCCATCACTGACCCCCCACAGCCCATCTCGATTGCTTGTGATTTATGCGGCGCCTCGAGTCACAACCGCCTTTTTCAATTCCCCCCCCAAATATTTTCAAGTACCCCCACCCGTTTGACTGTTTGTGTGGTATCAATCTTTCCCCAATTTGTATGAAATCAGAGCCATGGAAGGAAAACCTCCCTTTAAATTTCAAACATATTTGACTAAGCGAAGGATCACTTCCATGGGAAGGATTCGCTTGGAATTTAAATTTTTTTGATAAGGAATCGAAACCACATTCTTTCGTGATCCAAGAGGAGCTAGGCTTACATCACCCCCCACCATCCAAATGTAAGATAAAATAACCGGTACTTCGGATCAGAGACGTTGCGACCCCCCACTGCTTGTGCCTCGGAAGTTGTCATGTACCCACTCAGACTACCCTACCCCTTACCAAAGCACACCCTACCCACCACTACCGTACTTTTGTGCATCAAAACATACCCTTGTGGTTAAAGTTGTGTTACCCTACCCCCCCTTTATAGGCAACATCCAATCCAATCCCGAAGGCACTTTTTAGTGATGACTGGGGTACGTGGAAAGTGCATGAGAAAACGGTTTTTCATTGCAACGGTTACGAGAGCAGCAGCTAGTACGGTTATACATCCGTTGAAATCTCCTGGTCATTTTGCCCTTGGATTGTAGCCAACGGAAATGCATAAGGGGAGCAAGGGGAAGGAAGGGGAGGGACTGAGGCACTTTTGCTTGTTGCGGAGGATCATCGTCGGTGGCAGAGGGTCCTGAGCAGAGGACAGGAGAGAGGATGCTGGTAGGGCGAGGAAGGAACGACCCATCGGATTTCCTTTGACTTGGAGCACAATCCCATCCTAGCACCTAGAAGTGTCGCCCTCCCCTGTTGGCCGTCCGTCCTCTCAGCTCGGGGATGGAAGCCTTTCTAGCAAGACACTTCGAGCGCAAGGCGATGGCGGATGTCAACTTGCTGGTGAGACAGAAGTCGATGAGAGAGATGCTTGTCGATGAGCAGCAAATCGCTGCCGCTGCAGCAGCAGCAGCAGCTGCTGCTGCTGCAGGAAAAGACAGGCCCGAGCGAAGGTTCTTGTTCGCGTCAGCGAAGCGGATGAAGGACGTCCCTGACTATGACAAGAACACGACGGTGCTTCGCTCTGAGAGTGGTATCGATCCATCTGCATTCACCTGTGCATCCTTCCAACCCCCCGTCTCCCTCCATCCCTCCATCCCCGTCTCCCTCCATCCCTCCATCCCCGTCTCCCTCCATCCCTCCATCCCCGTCTCCATCCATCAATCCGTGAAGTTTTCCATCTCACGTTTGTCTTCCTTCTCCTCCTCCACCACCATCACTACCACCATCATTCATCTACCACCACTAGAAGAAGTGTAGATAATGATCCTCAATCGTTTCATCCTAGGCGTCCTGGATCTCAACCATCTGGTAGACTCCAACCAGCTTGAGGAGCAGCGGAAGGCGGGAGAGACAGGGTTCCGCTTCCTCGACTACAACAACCTGGAGGTGCTCGAAACGGTCCTGCATGAGAGGGACGGCATAGTGGAGGGCATTCGCCGCCATATCGACGTTAAGAATGTGATGACTTCAGCTCACAGCTTTCCTCTGCTTCACCTCGCTATTTCCCACCCTGCTCTCATTCTCTCTTCCTCTCCGGCTGTATGGCCCTTCCCCTGAGCTCCTCGTGCGTATTCTGTCCCCCTCCCTCTCCCTCTCTCTCCCTCCTCCTCCTCTCTCTTCCTCTCCTCTCTCTCTCCGTCGCTGTGCTCTGAGCGCACGTTGTCAGGAGCGAGATAGCAAGAGGGACATCATCTGGATCAGGCCCAGAGACGCCGAACAACATCACACCAAGTGAGGAGGAAGGGAGCGGGGGAGAGAGGAGGGCAGGATAGAGGAGGGAAGGACGGGGGGGCAGGGGAGGAGGTCTCAAAGTTGAGTCTCGACATGCAGGACAAGGATAAGGAAGGAGAGTGTCCGGTGCGACCTGCTGGAAAACGGCAAATGGACGACCGGAGAGCTTAAAGACGGGAGCACAAAGTCGTACAGATTCGTCCTCAAGGCAGAGGTGATGGAGGACGGGCCCCCAGCCCTGAGGATCGAAGTGACAGGTCGGAGGAGGAAGGGAGGAGGAGGAGGAGGGAGGGGGGGGGGGGGGGGAGTGACTTGCAAGGAGACTGGGAGATGAACGACAACGGGGAAGATGGGCTGGGGAGGGGAGGGGAAGGGAGGAACTAGTGGAGGATGGGACGCTTACATGCGCACTGCGAGCAGGTCAGACAGAGAAGGACGATCCTGACATCGTGGTCTCGACCTATGAGATTCCAAAGCAGAACAGTTTCCAGGTCTGACGCTCTCCTGCCCTCACTTCATGTGCTTCCTCCTCCTGCCCTGTCCTCTGCTGATAGATCAGCTCATCCCATCCCTCCACCTCCACCTCCACCATCATCTCCACCACCACCACTCTCCACCTCTACCTCCATCTCCATCTCCACCTCCACCTTTGATGGTTCTGCGCAGTGGAGAAGCATGGGATCAGGAGAAGATTTCATAGAGATCGTTCCGTCGGACTCCCAGTATCGTCTTGGAACCTACTACATCACAGTCTGCGCGTGCACCCCCGACTGCAAATATAAGATCAGAGTGAGGACTGTTTTCCTCCCCTTCCACTTCCTCTTCCTCTTCCTCTTCTTCTTTCCTCTCCCTCTTCCTTTCCTCCTTTCCTTCCTCTCTCTCATATCTTCTTCATCCTCTCCACTTCCTCCCGCTGTTCTTCTTCCTTGCCCTCTACCTGCTGATCTACACCATTTCCTTCATTTCATTTTCTTGCTTTCCTACTTCCCTCCTCTTTCGGCATCGCCTAGCCGTCTCCTCCTCCTCCTCCTCCTCCTCCTCCTCCTCCTTCTCCTCCTCCACTCTCCGCTCTCCGCTCTCCGTTCTCCGCTCCTGCCACTACCGGCCCCTCATCGCTCCCTGCAGCCTCCCTCTCTGCTCGCTGCTCACATTTCCACAGGTTGCCTCTGGCAACTTTGACAGGGAGGCGAACCTGATCAGAAGGCTGGCGATCTTTGACGCAAGTGAGGACGAGACAGAGATGTCTTGTTGATGTTCTTGTTTCTCCTGCACTCTTGTTTCGCTGTCTTCCTGCTGTTCTTTCTGGGATCGTTGTGCAAGATGTGAAGGATGAAGATAAAGATGATGATGATGATGGTCGTAATCGATGATTCATAGCGATACAACTCAGTTCCATGCTCTCCTCTGATGTCAGCCAACTGTCACTGCATTTGAGCTTTTAATCTTTGCGATTGTTCTCTTCCTCACCTCCGACGTTTCAGCATATCAAGGCATCAAGTCTTTCATATCCTCTGCCAACGAAAGGCGGGTGAGCGAAATCTGGGTAGAGGAGAGGTGGGGAGGGTGAGGAGACGAGGCAGAGGGGAAGGAGCAAGTGCGGGAAGGAAGGAGGAGAAAGCCTGCAATGGAGAGAGGAAGCGTCATGGTGGGCGGAGAGAGAGAGGACGAGGATGAAAATTTGAGAGGAATGGAAAACGGAGGATGAGATTTTAGAGGAAGTGGAGAGAGGTGACTAACAAGGAGGAGGAGGAGACAGTCGTTGACAAGCAGGAGAAGGAAAAGGAGGAGGAGGAGGGGGAGGGAAGCGTAGACTGAAGATTGCTCCTGTAGGTTGCTTCTCGTGGAGGAATTTCGTGGCGTCAGTACATGAGGAGCACTTCCGCCATGCTCCGTCCCGCCAGCGCCATGTCGCGCTCCTCCTCCCTCCCTCCTCCGCCCCTCCGCCCCTTCAGCAGCCTCGAGCTCCATGACAAGGAGGGAGAGGAGGAGAGGACGGGAGAGTGGCTGAGGGAGGAGGCGGAGCTGGCGGAGGAGGGGAGCACGGACGTCGAGGGGAGGATGGAGATAGTCCAGGAGCTTCGGACTCAGTCCAGGCCGAGCTCGTCGCTGCAGCGGAAGATGTCGGTGGAGAGTTTGGATCTCAATTCCTCGAAGACAAGAAGAGGAGGAGGTTCGGGCGACCTGTCTCGCAGACTGTCCGTGGGGAGAAGCGAGGAGAAGATTGATGCGGCTAGAGGACGTCCGGTTTCGCCCTACAAGGTGAGAGGGAGAGGCGAGAAGGAGGAGGAGACAAGTGAGGGAGAAAATTGCAAGTCAAGTAAGAGGTGGGAGAAGGTTGGTGGTGGAGGGGCAGATGAAAATCAGATCAGCAGCAGCAGCAGCAGCAGCAGCAGCAGCAGCAGCAGAGCTGACGGAGGCGTCCAACAGGAAGTGGCTCAGAACGTCCTCTCCTTGTCAAGATCCTCGCGGGAAGAGTCGCCGCTAGGACGACAAGGAGCGTTGAGGAAGATGCAGGAAGCCTTCAAGACTGTCGACGAGGTCACGGTGATAAACATGTTGCATACTGGTGCCTCCTCCTTCTTGAGGAAGGGAAGAGAGAGGGAAGGAAAGGGAAGGGGGAGAGGGGGAAGATATGCAATGAGGCACAGCTGAGGGAGGAGGAGCAGAGGAGGGAATTGGTTGTGTGGAGGGGAGAAGAATGGGGAAGGTGGAAGGAGGAGGATGGGGAATGGAAAAGAAGGAAAAGACGAGTGGAGGAGGAGGGGGAGGGGGAGGGGGAGGAAGAAGAGGCGTTTGAGCTGAAGGAGATACAGAAACACAATCAGACAAAAGTGGTCTGGGTATGCAAGGAGGGGCCGATCAAGTCGAGAGCAGATCTGTACAGGATGACGGT